TGAACCCTTAGTGACACTTTACAAAAACAAAACAAAACCTGGTGGTACTGGGTCTCTTCTTTACAGAAGAATGCTAGCTGTAAGTGGATGGAAGAAATAATGGACTAGAAAGTCATTTTGTAGCCATCAAGATAGATACTGATATAAAGAGCATCAGTAGATGCTAAAACCATTGGGCAAAATATATATGTGTATGTATAGAGAAAAGAGCAAGTAGATATGCCAGAGATTAGCAGTTGATGAATCTAGATGAAGTATATACAGGTGTTCATTGTACTGTTTTCCAACTTTTCTGTGGCATTAAATTTTTCTGAATAAAAAGCTGGGGTGAAAGACTTCTTTAAAAAGTATTCAAAAGCAAAAAGGTCACTTTGAGGACTAAGATGCAGCTGACCCAAGTCATGGTATTTTCAGTCGCCTCATATGCATGTGAAAGTTGGATATTGAATAAGGAAGGCTGTAGAACCGATGCATTTGAATGATGGTGCTGGAGAAACATACTAAAAGTACCAGGGACTGCCAGAAGAACAATTTAACCTGTCTTTGAAATAGTAAACTATGTCTTAGAAGTGAGGATGGTGAGACTGTATTACTCATACTTTGAACATGTCAGGAGGGACCAGTGTCTAGAGAAGAAGCACATCATGCTTGAAAATGTGTAGGAACAATAAAAAAGAGGAAGACTCCCAAAGAGATGAAGTGACACAGTGGCAGTAACAGTGGACTCAAACATAACAATTGTGAGAATGTTGCAGGACTGGACAGTGTTTTGTCTGTTGTGCATAATGTTGCTATGAGTCTTAATGAGCTGGACAGCACCTAAAAGCAACAATTAACACGCTTCTGTTCATTACTGATCTCCCTACACATGCATGCTAATTCTTTAGTTCTAGTTTACAAAAAACAACTAAGTAATGGACAGGACATACAACAATATATCAAATAGTTATCAGAATAAACTATTTTACTTACAGCAAAGAAACAAAAAGCTGGGTTGTGGGGGAAATGATAAGCATTCCTTCCTTGTTAAGAGTAAAACAAAGCAAACTACAGGAAAATGCTGAGAAAAGTAAAAATTAAACCCAGATTCGTCCACCCATATAACTGTAATTAACATTTCTGGGGAACCTTTTTCCAGATATTATTATTTTGCCTTGAATTTTTTTTTTTTAATATAAGAAACGGTATCATTTGCCCTATAGAATATCCCACATTCTGGATTTGTCTAATTTCCCCATGGTGGTGTTTAACATGTGCCTCTTTCTCGTAAACAAAAGATAAAAAAGTCCATTGCTGTTGAGTCGATTTAGACTCATAATGACTTGACAAGGGGGTTGAAAGATAGTGGAACTTTTCCACAAACTTTTTGAAGCCTCTTTGTACAGTTTCTGTAAATTAATAGTTAGATCTATGCACTTGTTTCAGGTTCTAGTTTTTCATTTTTTGGCAGCAGCACGACAAGTGATGCTGTGTGCTTCCTATTGCCTGCCAGCTGATTGTCTCCCTTTGGGTGATGTTAAGATGAATTGGAGTGGCATCAATCTGATCAGCCCTTACATGGTTTTCATTCACCTTCTTCTAATAGTTTTAGCAGCCATTGACAATAGTCTGCATCTATTAAAAAAAATGCTACCATTTCTTCTGTGTATATTACCTATGATTCTTCTACAAATAAAACCTATTACTATTTCCCTGTCCTGAAAGATAGGGAAAGTGAATGAAATGCTTGATTCCTTTCCATTGTTTTAAAATCATTTTAGAATTAAGCTGGTGTTCTGGAATACATCCTCCAAACTGAACAAAGAGTTTTTTTGTTTTTTGTTTTTCAACTTTGAGGGGTGAGGAGTTGTAATGAAGTGACTAACTATATGCAGTCACACATATGAGGGGCTTGAAAAAGTTTTGGGAAAAATGTAATTGAAAGATGATTAAATTTTTCCATGAACATTTTGAAGCACCCTTGTGTATGTATAAACCCATTGTGATTGAGTTAATTCTGACTCATGCCAATCCTATAGAATAGAGTAGAACTGCCGCATAGGATTTCCAAGGCTGTAAATCTTTAGGGGAACACACTGCCATATCTTTCTCCTGAAGAGCAACTGGATGGTAGGTGTTTGAACCACCTCGTGTCTGAGTGCTTTAGCCACTGCACCACCAGGGATCCTGTGTGTGTATAATGTGTATAATTTATTGCATTCATTATTCTTTTTGTTCAGATTTGTTACATCTTTGGCCCAGAGGGAGCCCCTCAAGTTGATTCTTGGCTTATAATGCCTATTGATCTTTGTTGGCCTTCTTGCTTTCAGACATAACAAGATATCCTGTATATTTGTTCTAAGCCCTGATTCCACTGAGAGAGAAATGGAATTTAAAAACCATAATCTGAGTGTCGGGGTACCCATTGCTACTGAATTGACATTGTTCATAGACTTTTTCCATGGAGAGAGCTAGGAAATAGGGTTGTTTTTTTTTTTTTTTTCACTTTGAAAGAGAAAAAAAGTATGAGTTTGTGTCATTTCCAATTCAAGTTTAAAATTAGTGTTTTTAAGTTTTTAATATCTGAATCTCTTTTCTCATGTTGAAAGCCTTAACATAATTGTTGTTGTTAAGTGCTGTCGAGTTGGTTACAACCCATAGCGACCCTGTCTAGGGTTTCCGAGGAGCGGCTGGTGGGCTTGAACCTCCCACAGAACCATACCAGAATACAATTAGTTTTATGATATCTAATTATTCTGTCTTAAAATATATGTAGTTATTATCATCAAGGATAAATTCATTGAATACAGAAGATTTCTTCCTGGTTCTTTGTGTCCTTAAAACAGGGGGACTCTCTTAAAATCACTTGAAATAATTCTTCCATGTGATGTCACCAACATGAATACATTTATTTTGGGTCATTTGTTTTTAGCTTTTGGAACTTAATTGTGCTTTTAAATTTTAATTGTATTTTTAATTATGTCAAAACTTGTACATGGTCTCAGTCAAAATTATAAAGGTACGTTAAGAGAAATTTAACTTCTCTCCTTCCCTCTCTTCTCTCCCTCCCTTTATAGGTAACTAAACTATTTTTAAGTTTTAGAGTTTTATCATTTAATTTTGAAACGAGCAAAATTTTTGCATTTCCCCCATTTTTTACATAAAAGCATGCTATCTACATCCAAAACATGAGGGGACTTTAAAAAATTTGTGGAAAAATTCTACTATTTTTTCATTCCATTTTTCTACAAACTTTCTGAAACCCCTTTCTTTAATCTTAGAGATTCTCTATTGCTGTTAAGTGTCATAGAGTTGGTTCTGATTCATAGTGACCCTGTATAGAGCTTCCAAGGACTAGTTGGTGAGTTTGAACCACCAGCCTTGTAGTTCAAACTGACTTCGCGGTCCAGTGCTTATCCTACAGCATCACACCAGGATTCCAGAGACTCTCTATAGCATTCCTTTATATATGGAGTATTGTCTTATTTTATCCAGTTTTCTCTTGCTGATGGATATTGGGGTTATTTCCAGACTTGTAATTGTAAAGAGTCCTGGTGTGGCACTGTAGCATAAGCACTGAACTGCAAACCACTAGTTTAACAATTCAAACCCACCACCACTCCTTGGAAATCCTATACAGGGTCGCTATGAGGAATGGACTCATTGGAACTTAACAACAACAACAAATAGCAAATAATGCTGAGATAAGTTGCATTTTGCATATTTCGTTTTGTATTTTTGCCAGTGTATCTGTGGAATGGATTTCTAGAAGTGAGATTGCTCTGGTTCAGAGGGGAAGTTCATAGATAATTTTGTTAGATAATTACTGTATTCCCCTCTATAAGGGTTTGTACTGTTTTGCATTCCTACCAGTAGTGTATTAGAGACACAGCAACATTTTTATATGGTAGAATGCAGTATTATGTAATGAGACCTTTGAAAAGTAAAGTGGGCCTGAATTTGAGAGTTTTTTCCATCTCTGAATTGTGTTTTTGGACAAGTTACTTAATCTCTCTGAAACTTGGTTTCCTCATTTGTCAAAAGGCAGAGGAGTGGGATAGTAAAAATAGTACCTACTACAAAGAGTTGTTTTGAGGATTAGTTAAGAAAATACTTAGCACAGTGTCTGCTATGTAGTACGTGCTTATTAAATGCTGACTGTGGATATTCTTATTGTGACTATTAAATTTAAAAATGAAAGCTGAGTCTAATTTATTGATTAAAAACCCTAGGGGATTCCAAATTTCTAATCTCTCAGTTAAAATGGTCAGAAACTAGAGCTAGCAAGGGAGTTTTTGCTCTTTTTGAGCGGCAACCAGCTGAAAAGAAACACTAAATCTCCACTGCTGTATTATAGTGGTTTACTTCTCCAAGTTTTTGGAGTGGTTGACGGGTTTGGTCCACGCACTCATTTAACTGTCAGAAGGGACAGGGCATTACTTGATAGATACTTACTGCTCTCTGAGCTAGTAACACTTTGCAACTCTTTGTAAACACTTTGCAACTCAGTAAACACTTTGCAACTCACCTTTACCACTGACTAGCATGAGGGATCATAGGATTTTTAGGCATTATTGATAGACATGGGCTGGAAATAATAACCCATGAATATATTCATCAGGGCTTTTTGTCCCCGTTCCCCACCCCCACCCCCACCCCCGGCTAAAATACAAAAGTAGTAAAATATGCCAGAAGTTTTCAGAATTCTTAATTGACACAACTAGTAATTCTTCAAAGACCCTGTCAGATATGGGCTTTTCTAACCTGCAGATTGAAAGAGGTTATGTACGACTGCTTCATCAGTGGGTTCTATACTGCTTTCCCCTAAATCAGTTTTCATCACAAATGGACTTTAGTTGGTCCATGAAACCCCTGTAATTATATACAAAATTGTATGTATATGTGTGTATTTTGTTGGGGAGAAGAGTGTGAATCCCATAGTTTTCATTAGATTATCAAAGAATCCATGATCTAAAAAAGGTTTAAAAACACAATCCTAACTGTACTCTTTTGTTTTGAAGGATGTTGCAGCTCGCGGCTTAGATCTTCCTCAAGTCACGTGGATTGTTCAGGTAATTTTTCAGCTGTTAAAGTGTGAGCCTGAGGCAGCAATATATATGATCAGGAGTAGATGCTTTGGCTCTGAGTAGAATCATTACTATCACCCTCTTGGGTGTTGCCCTAGTAACTACGCAGTACCTAGCCTTATCCGCACAATTTTACTGACAACCTACCTTTACATAGCCCACCTAACTGCTGCAGCAGAACAGCCAGAATATGCAGTTGCATAGGGGAGGTGGCAGGCTGTCTTGCTCCCAGATGAATGCATGTCACAAACGAAAGATTTAACAATCTGAAAATAACGGGAATTACCCTGGCCCCTGGGAAGCTTCATTGTGTCCAGAAGGAGATGGCTCAGCTGTCCTGAGAGCCGTGTCCATGTACATTGACCTGCAGGGAGCAATTAAGTTCCTGACAGCATCTTACACATACCTTCAGCCTCTAGATGCTTTGCCAGAGGGTACAGGTGTTAGCACTAGAGTTTAGTGGTTTTAGTTTTGTTTTTCATTTTCATTAGTCTGCTGAATGGTGTTTTTAGGCCCCTTCTGCATGGGGGCCAGGGGACCCATGCCCTGTTTATGTGAGCCGTGGTTTATTCACATTTTAATGGAGCTGCATGCCTGTCACAAGGCTTACCCCCAAAAAATGTGTTCTGCTCATCACAGACTGTTACTTTGGGACTAGAAGCATTGCTACAGCTTTCCTGCTGGTAAAAGAACAAATTAAAGAGGAGAACAGGATCATTTTAATATGATAGGCCAAACATAAAATCAATCATTTAGAGCCTTCTTGTATTGTGACCATTTATGATCTTAATGTTCCCCGTAGAGTACATTTATATTGGTCCTCTGATCTTTCATTGATGTAACAGCAAAGAAAAAAGGAAAAAATCTGAGGAGGCTTCAAAAAGTTTGTGAAAAAATGGAATTAAAAGAACCTCACTCGTTTATGGTTAATTAGCTCTAATGCTGATCATGTTGTTCCCATTGTTGTTGTTAAGTGCCATTGAGTTGGTTCAGACTCATAGCGAGCCTGTATAGAGTTTCCAAGGAGTGACTGATGGATTTGAACTACTACTGACCTTGCTGTTCAAACCAACTTGATGGTCCAGTGTATGTCCTACAGCGCTACACCAGGACTACATGTTACTGTTAAGTGCCATCGAATTTGTCCATCGGTTCTGGCTCATAGCAACGCTGTATATGGTTTCTGAGGAGTGGCTGGTGAGTTTGAACTGCCTACCTAGTGGTTCAAACCAATCTTGCAGTCCAGTGCTTATCCTACAGCGCCACACCAGGACTCCAGAAATACCATACAACATTACATATAATTAATTCTACTGAGCTATAGCGTATATACCCTTTTCTAGAATGCCACCTTGGGAGCAGGCATGCCTCCACCTCTCAACTGCATTGCAATGTAACTTACTGGGAACTGAGTTCTACAGCAGGTTGGTGGTGGGGACTAGCCTACTCTTGTGGCCCAGCAGCAGACCAGAACTCAGTAATAGGCCCCCTTCATCCTGCACTGTCCAGTGTTCTCTGTTACCTTGTTCCTACCGCTTTGTCTACCAAGGAAGTAGGCCAAGGTCATGTGGTCATCCTGGAGAAATTTACCCCCACCTGCCTACCTTTCCTTCCTTGTCCAGTCATTGCAGTGAAAGAATGCAAATAGGAAAGTGAAGAGACCTGTGGAGAAATGAAATTAAACAGTAGTTAGTGGGACAAGAAGATGTCTCGTTTACCTGAGAATTGGCCACTGTTCATGTTTGCATGTCAGAGCCTTGTTATTTCCAATGAAGTCAGGAGTTTCAGGGTTGAGTGACTTCTTGTGATTGTCTTAGGGTAACCATAGCACCAGGATTTAATTCTTGGGATACCTGGAGGCAGGTGAGGGGTATTGCACTTCCAATTAATGACAATCCCTTGATTTATGAATGCCTTCATTTTTGTTACCCTTTTTAGTACAACGCTCCATCTTCACCTGCAGAATACATCCACCGGATTGGAAGAACTGCCCGGATTGGCTGCCATGGGAGCAGCCTGCTCATTTTGGCTCCTTCGGAGGCAGAATATGTCAACTCGTTGGCTTCTCACAAAATCAAGTGAGTCAGAAACCTGAACAGGTTTCGGCTGATGTCACCTAATTAACTTTCTGTCGCTTTTACAGTGGATGGGCCTTGTAAGCTGACGAAGAACCATTAACCCTTGTGATCCCTAAATGAGTTCCAGAATAGCCAGTGGCAAAAACTAAAACCCTTAATACCATCAGCACATGACAGTTTTCATTGCATTGCCAGACTAAGTAATAGAATGATCTGTTGCATTTCTTTTTTCTTTGAGAGAGAGGTCTGTGTTTCATTTCTCTCACTGTAACATAAGTGTGCACAACCTTCATGTCCAGCTTCTTCAAGACCTTTTTATATTTACAATGAATAATTCTCACAGTTAACATTTTGCATCCTTAAAGTTGATTTATCTTTTACAGCAATAATACTCTTTACTCGTCACATAACTTCCCTCACCAGGAAAATAAGTTCAGGAAACAGATAATTTAGGCGGATGAAATACGTACTATACTTTCACAACCAGTGCTTTCTAGCCGCCATTTTGTATGCACACAACCAGATGGCAGCACCTCACATTCTCCTGAATAAAGTCCCAAAGCCCATCCTGGACCAGTGGACTTAACAGAGTTCTGTGAGAGTGCACAGAAGCTTAGTCAGGCCTTTCCTATCAAACTGCATTTCATCTAGGAAACACAAAACAAAGCACACATACAGAGCAACATCTTTTCCTGGCCAGGAAAATTATAGTGAAGCCAGAAATAACTTACCTGGATCACAGAAATAAATTTGCATTGTCATGTTTTCCATCTGCTAACCACAATTTTGGCGGTTCAAGACCCCCAGCTGCTCTGTGGAAGAAAGATGTGACTTTCTGCTCCCACAAAGATTTTCAAGCCTCAGAAACCCTATACAGGGTCACTATGCGTTGCAGCCAACTCAGTGGCACCTAACAATAACAACAAAGGTATGCTGCAGTTTCCCTAAAATACAGACCTGGGAAAATCATTGCATAACATGTCTGAACTGAAAGGTCCAGAGAAATGGTATGGAAACCTGGTCTGGGAGGGCCTAAGGAGACGTCACCACTTGGACTAGCTATTGTGTGGCAGTCCTGACCACTGCCTGCCATGTTTCCAACAATAGAACTCTCACTATTATCCTAATAAGGCTTCTCAAAACTCTTTGCTAGGTTGTTAGTATTAACACTTAGGGACCGAGTCTTAGTCAGAAAATATGCTTTACATCTTTGGGTGTCAGGGAGGTAGGTATATACTCCTGGTGGATCAGATAAAAATTTCAAGTGGCTAAAATAAAGATGGTTTGGGTTTTCCTTTTATTTCATCTACTTTGTCAGTTGAAAGAGTCCTTTTTGCTTTAGGAGGTTGTGCATGTTTTATCTTATTTGTGAGAGAAGTTTCAGACCAGCCAGTTATTCACTGCTCTCCAAGAACTTTCTTTCCAGTTATGTTCTGCATTTCCAGAGGCTGGAGGCAACTGGGATTTCTCCTTGACACCTTTTCCGTGTCTAGGTTGGCACCCTATTAGGAAGATGAGCTCCAGAAACCTACTGGAATAAAAATGAAAGCTCATTGGCATAACCCTTTCTTTTTTCATCCTTTATTCTGTTCCCATTGACTTTAAGTTCAGTATCTTTATTCTCTGTCACAGAAGAACTTGTGTATATATAGAAAATATTTTCAGAATTTTGTCTTCCCACAATAAAAACTTCTGTCATTGCGTCTTGGCGGTCTGTCATTCTACAGCTCCTTTTTCTCCTCCTGCCCTAGACCGACAAATTCATATCCTTTCATTCGGCCAGCAACTCTCTGGATGCCTCCTGTGCTTACTCACATCAACATGATCTCAGAAAAAAATGAGAGCAATAGCAGTTACGAAGACAAACAAGAATTTTCTAATACCAGAGTTAGCACCATAAGTTCCTCTATCTTTCTATGCTTTCTTAACTTAGCTTTAGTAAACCTATTTAGCTTGATTCCTATGAATGGCTCCAGTATATAATCCGAAAATTGCAAAGGGAAAATGATAATTGGCATGAACACTATTAGCAAGCCAATTGTCCTCTGTGATGTCATCGGAAAAACTGGTATGCTACCAAATTCAGCATACCTGTCACATTGCAAAGGAGAAAGTTGAAAAGGATCAGATACAGATTAGGGAACTACTGACAGGAAAAGATTTTGATCTCTAGAGAGGAGGACATAGAGGGTAGTTAAAGAGCATTCGTTTTAAGGGGTAAAATGCTGTGTCCTTGGTTGTGGTTTATTTCTAGCTTGAAAACTCAACTATTGCAGTGCCCTACCCCATGGACTGCTTCACTGGGCAGATATAATCAACCTAGAAAAGTCAAAATCTTCTATTAAGAAAGTATAGTCATGACTTATACTTTCTAATCTCTGTTAGAGGAAGGACTATGCATACGATATCTACAATAGACTGTTTCTTTGACTTAAAACCAAAAGATGAAAAAATGAATTTAAGAACTAGTTACAAAGTGTACAGTGGAAAGAAGCAGACCTGAATGTTTTGGGAATCAAAAAGGTGCATTCCTAGTACTTTCATTAAACAGAGGAAGAAGAATGTATATGTTTTGTATATAAGAACATGAGAGCCAGGCAGCGGGATGCTGGCATGGCTGGTGAATTACAGAGGAGATTCAGAAAGGCAGGCCGAGGCTCCCGGCAGCAAGGGCCATCACAACACATTGCCGCGTGCCTTCATATCCTGAGCACTGGAACAAACCCTGACAATTTAATTTAGCAGCCAGGCCAAGAGACAGGTGCCCTGGGCCGTTGCTGCCTCTGTCAAAAGGCTTAGAACCTTATTTCTGTATCCTTTTGACTTTGTGTTTACCAACTTTTTACTTTTTTTTCTACCTCCCCTTTAAATATGTTTCCAATGAAAATCATCGTTGGTTTATTAAAATGTAAATGCTTCATCAAAACATTTATTTCTTAGATCAAACTAAGACAGTTCCTTGAATGTATTCATTTATCTATTTTTATAGTAAGGTGGGATGATGTTGTTGTTGTTATGTGCCGTGGAGTCTAGAACCATAAATAATCAGAGTGGATTTGTTTTGTTCCTCAGAGGAAAAGAGTTCTTAGACTTAAGAAGACTTGTTAAAACTATAAAACGCTACAGTTCACTCTCAGCTCCTGTCCACTTCCGGGAGTGGTCTCCTAGCGTAAGAGCTATACCTTTGCTGAAATGTCAGCACTTCTGTGTGTTTAGGAAACTACCTTTCTGGGACATATAGAGGTTTTGTACCCCTGACTGAATGGCATTATTCTTGTTTTCCTTTCCCCCTTTAAGATTTGACTTCAAGTTCTTATGTTTCTTTCCCTCCTTTTTTTTCCCCCCCTCGTAAAGAAGAAAATGTCACAAATAGAGGCAAGTGATATAGAGAAAGAAAGAAGCTAGGTCTGAGCTAGGTTTCCACCTTCCGTCAGCTTTCCAGGCATAAATAAGAGGCAAATTTAATAGCCATTAACAGTTCTCTCTCATATGAAAAATAAATTTTCCATAAAACCATGAGCATTTTCCTCTGACTGCCACGCTTTCGATGCATGCTCTACCTTCTTCAAGTGACTCTTAACTGCTGTAGAAAGATTCCACATACCCATAGGGCTGTGAGCTGGCAGCAGCAAGAGAGAACGTTGAGGAGTGGGGGCTGGGGGTGTTTAGGGAAGAGATGACACATTTCAGGTAAATCGCTGTCAAAGACTTGACATTTTCATTCATAGCTTTGTCAGAGTAACCTTTAGGGGAAAGGGGGAGAAGTGTCGTCTCCCACATAAGAGGTTGCCATTCTTGTTTTAATTTGCTGTTACATTTTCAAAAAAAAACAACATACAAAAAAAATCATTTATCTTTTTATGATCTGTTTCCCCACCCCCAGAGCTCCTCCTTCCATTTTTCTTTCTCCCTGGGAAGTATGTTTTCAAGAGCTCATATTTCCTCTTCAGTCTCTGAGACATGATTCCAGATCTGTGTTCCATATTTGAGCACTGTGACCTCCCAGGCAGTTGGATGAAGTATAGACTCTCCAGATGTCCCACCTGCCGACAGGGTGGAATGGACTGTTGTGTTCTTGCTTCCAGTGGCTTCTGCTCATATGTGGAAATCTAATGTCTGATTTCAGCAGTTTGCACATAGCTGTAGATTCATCAGACATCATTTGTTCTTTACCCTTTAATAGTTAAAAGGACAAGAATAGTCAAGGTACCCAGGGTGGAATAGATTGTTCTGGTCCTGTGGAAAAGAAGCTTTGGCCACTTGTTAGCTTTCACTGTGCTATTTACTCTAGTAGTTATGAAAGGATCTTTATCCACCCTTTAGAAATTACTATCTAAGTATAAAGGGAAAGGGAAAATCTGATATATTTAAAAATTTCATCTGCTTCTGCTAGAATCAAGATAGTATACCAACAAGCAGGCCTACATATTTACTATGCAGGATTTATTAAGAAATAATATCTTCCCTATAAAGGAAATTCTAAACATAGCATATTTTAAATTAATCCAAAGGAAAGAAATTTTCAAGAATATTGACTTACCTGTTCCTGCAAAAAAATACTCTATTTCCTTTTAAGTTCCTAAAGGTTTAGGAAGAAATTCCCTTTCTTGTGAAGCTGTAAGCTCTACTTTGTGCCTAACTAGCTTGAGGATAAGCCACTTCTGTGTATCAAAATTTGGGCTGTTTTTGAAAGAATAAAAAATTTACCTTGATATACCCTTCCTTTTACAGTATTTCCGAGATTAAGATGGAAGATATTTTGTCTGTTTTGACAAGAGATGATTATTTTAAAAGACGGCGATGGGGAAACCAGGTGAATTTTATTATTTATTGTACTTGCTGCTAACTACGTGATCCATTTCTTGATTTGGAGGAACGTAGATTTTGTATATGGGTTCGTTTTTTCTTTTGTCAAGCAAAACCTATGTTTTAACCCTGAAAATTAGATAAGGACAGATCTTGATTATGTTTTTTCTCTTTGAGGCTTCTGGATGTGCTTATTGGTATCATCCAGCTAATGGGCTGTAGTCCATTCTGGAAGCCAGCCACGGAGCAGCAGGCTTCCCAGAAAGGAGATGTAGGCCAGAATGAGTTTGGAGGCAGCATTACATGTTCAACCCCAGTGGTCCCTCGCCATATTACCAACAAGGACCACTGGCTAGATTCATTCATCCAAGATAGCTTGAATAAAATAAATATCTCTGTGTCTCCTTTCAAGCAAATTGAGTTCATCTGTTTTTTAATGTGGGTGTGCTATATACACAGAGGAAGAGTAAAGTTGAAATTATTAAGAAGAATAATTTTATTATCCATGCAATTCCATATGGAGTTCTTGAACAGTTGTTGGCAGCCCTGAACATCCTAACTTTACCCCTGCTAGGCAATCATTTCCACACCTCAGCGTATATTACATATATTCTTGTGTCTTTGTATGTGTGTATAGTGTTGCTATATATAATTTTGTTCATGAAATAGTAATTATTTGAATATATTGTATTCATTTGCTTATGACTAAGGATTACTGTTGTTGTAGCTACCCTGTATAGGGTTTCCAAGGAGCAGCTGCTGGGTTTGAACCTTTTGGTTCGCAATCCTGTGCTAATCCTACTGTGCCAAAAATCAAAGCCAAGTAGTCAAGCTACTTAGTTCTGGTATGGTGCTGTGAGTTCATGCGCTGGAATGCACGGTTGGTTTGAACCGCAAGGTCAGGTGTTCAAGCTAACCAGCGGCTCCTCGGAAACCCTATACAGGGCCCCTATCAGGGCTCTTAACAACAACAACATATATCTTTATTTGGATCAATATTCTCCATGAGGCAGGTACTAGATTTGATTGTCCTTCACTTAAATTCTCTTGTTCCAAGCAGTGCCTAAGGAAATTACATAATAAAAGAAGAGGAAATAGCCATACATGCTCTTGTTGTTAAGTGCTGTTAAGTAGATTTTGACCATAGTGACCCTGTATAGGGTTTCCAAGGAGCAGCTGATGAGCTTGAACCACTGACCTTGCATTTCAAAGTGACTTTGCTGTCCAGTGCATTAACCCACAGTGCCACAATTATTGTTAACTTAGTTTCTGTCACAGACTTGGTCTTTAGCTTAGTTCTTTTCATGTATAATTTCGTGTAATCCTCATGTTGGTAAGTTCCCACTCATAGCCACCCTGTGTAGGGTTTTCAAGGAACCTCTGGTAGATTTGAACTGCTGGCCTTGCGGTTCAAACCGACCTTGTGATCGAGCGCTTATCCTATAGTGCCACACCAGGACTCCTTAATCATCATAGCAACCCTTTAAAGTAGACAGTATTGTCCCAGTTTATAGATGAGGAAACAAGTTAGGTTAAGGAAATAACACGAGGTCATACTGATAATCATTATCTCCTTGGAATTTGAAATCAGGCAGTCTTAACATCAAAATACATTTTCTTAACTCTATTATCGGTGTGTTTCCAATGTTGTTGTAAAGTGCCATTGAGTTGGTTCTAACTCATAAGGATCCTGTGTAGGGACTCCAGGATTAACTGGCTGGTGGGTTTGAATTGTCGACCCTGTGATTCGCAGTCTAGTGCTTATCCTACAGCACCACATCAGGACCCCCTGTTTCCATTAGTATTAGCTAAACCAAGAAAATGGGATTCAATTTTTTTTTTTAATTAAGTGATTTCAAATTGGGTAATCACTCAAATTAGAGGTAAAAATTAGGCAATAACTGGTACCACAACAGAAATCTCTGTGAACAAAGCTATTTAACATTCAGTTGCAGCCACACTAGAATTTGAATCACCTTTTAATAGCAGTTTGTTACCAAGAGAATTGACCAGTAACCAAACTCATTGGTCTTGACACACTGCTGTTCTTTTGGAACTATTGTGAACTTTAGTCAGGATTCTAGAAGGCATACTAAGTCTTATCTAACAGTACCTCAGATACTGCTAACTAGGAACAGGCCAGGTCTATCCTCACTGAGGTTCATTAATAATGTAGAAAAGGACCTCTTCTTAGATAAGATTATTTTTTTCATAATAATGTCTGCACAGACAGAATAGCCATGTGGAGCCACAGGAGAACTGCTTGTGGAGACAACATAGCAGAGTGATTGGACCTTAAGGTCAAATTCCTGATCTGCCACTTATGAGCCATAGGATTTTGGGCAAGCACTGATCTTTCTAAGCACATTTTTACTTCATGTATAAAACAAAGCTAATAGTATTCTTCTCATAAGATGGATGGACTGGGTGAGCAATAGCCCTAAAGTCTCAAGTACCATGCATAGTACTGAATGTTTTTATTATTTGGTCGTATCATTTGGTAGCAGATATGGCAGCATGGCCCATGCTCAGTGACAAGAAGTGTGGTGCCTAGTTTGCTGCATCATAAACATTGGAACATAAGCCTCTGCCTTCTCTCCAGAAATGAGAGCAATGAGAGCAAGCAGTAAAATTGTAACATGAGATGTTAAATTTGACCAATTTAGTCTTTCCTATTATTGTATCAGGGACCAACTTTGGTGTCAGTATTTATCCCATGAGAACAGATCGTTTCTCTCCAGGGAGTTGATCACTGTGTGCATCTGCACATCCCCTGGGAAGCTGGGGAAGGGCATTCACCTACTCATGAAGGACATTTCCCCAAAGAAGGAACAGAGCAGCTGCATTTCCCTCTGCTCTGTCAGGAACAAGGCACAGTTGTTTTTTTGTTTTAAACATCTGCCCTCTGTGACTTTGCAGCATCATTTCTCCCTAAGCTTTAACCTGACTTGAACCCAGCCTGAAAGACTCCCTGAGACTTTTGAGGTGTGTTTTATAAGCTCATTGGTAAGAGGCACATCCCAGAGTCAGACAGACATGGGTTTGAATCCTTCCTTCGCTACTAGTAGCTCTTTGACCTTGGGCAAATCACATAAATATAAGTAAATAAACCAAGGCGTAAAGTGCTCAGCATAGTTCAGGAATCTTTTTTAAGATTTACCAAAGTAAGTTCTCTCCATCGTATTTCAGCCCCAAGCTCCTGACCTGAAGTACAGGAATGAATTGACTGCTTCCAACATTTTTGAAGTTTGTGGATCTTTGTTGTTGTTTTTAAAAAGCTAAGTAAATTGGTGGAGTCCTGGTATGGCACTGTAGGATAAGCACTCGACTGCAAGCTCGGGTTAAATCGCAAGGTTGGTCGTTCAGATCCACCTGCCACTCCTTGGACATCCTGTTACATATAGGGTTGCTATTGAGTCAGAACCTGCTCAATGGTGCTTAACAACAAGAAGAAGTAAAATTGGAGTTTCACTGACACTAAAATAGCTGGTTAACTTAGAAAGTGAAATTAGTTACATATCAGACTCTAGATGTCATAGATAAAGATTTGGTTGGTTTGACAAAATAAAACTTTAATTCAGAGGAAAAAGAAATACTAAAATTTACTATATCACTAATTATCACATGGTTTTACAGCCTTCAGAGTATTTTATGTGTGTGATCCATGTGAATAGTAAAAAGAATAAAGTAGCTCCTAGACACAGTTTCAAGTTCCATCTTGTGTAAGAACTACAGTAGGTTAATTGCTCTGCTCAATTTAGACAGTTTCCACTAGCATATGCACTAATGCTAGGAAAACAAATGTGGGTTCAATAGTTAAGCCATTTACACATATAGCCAGACACCTCATTATAATGCCCCTAGTCTTCACCCAGCTCAAATGAAGTCCACTGTAAATGCCCTTTTGGCACACAAATTTTTAGGCTTCTGTGAACAGAAAACGAGTGAAGCATCTGTAAAATGTATATTTCATATTTAGGTATATAAAATATATATAGCTGCGTCTGGGTGTGTGAATGTTCACCTACCTACAAAGAGAATAAATTTGATCTTTCAACTTTACTGAGAAGCACGCAGAAGGTTCTAGGGACCATGGGAGTAAAACTCACCTTCGCAATAAAGTGATTAAAACAAAATCCTTTCACTTCGTTTTAAAAATATCTTGAAAGTTGGTAATACCAAGACATATGCTTTTTTGTTGTTGTCTTGTTGCTTTACTTTACAACACCATCACCCACCACTGCTACCACCTAAAACTTTTTACGACATAAACAGTTTGGCCTAGTTGTCTTAGATTCATCTGTGGCTCCTTGATTAGTTAAGAGATTTTCATCTTGCAAGTATAATAAGTATAGGCTCATATTCAAGCACACACACCAAACCATGTTTTTTCTACAAGTCTTATTTTGTCCTATGAAATATGCCTGTAAACTTATCCTAACCCCCCCCAAAAAAAAAAAAAAGTCACTGGCATTGTGAGATATCAAAGAAGACCAGTAGCCTCTTGCTTAGTCCTCTTTGATTGTTCGCTCCAAGATCAGTAGGCTCTTACTGATAAAGGACTAAGAAAGCTAAAACTGTAATTTTCTAAACTGTCCGTGGTCCATTGGTTGCAAGTTAGCTTCATTACCAGTACTGCATCAGTGTGTCTTTGAGGGTGGGAAAGCCAGTCAGTCCTGCAGAGTATTCATGTGCCTGCAGGGGTTTGACCCGTTCTCATTACGGGAGGATTTTACTTGTCTGGGCCTGGAGATGGTGGTGCATAACTCTGCCCCCCTCTGTCTTCAGTTTAAATTTAGACTGTCCTCCCCAGAAGACAACTGAAAAAAAAATACCTCATTCATTCTCAAGAGGGGCAATTTTAAAATAAAGTATTTCTGGAAGTGAGGGCGGGAAAGAAGGGAAGAGTAAGAAATGCTTTTTCCTAAATATATTATGTTTTCTGCCATTAACTTTTTCTTATATTTTACAGAAACTGACCTCATCATTTTAAACATGTGAACCTTATTTTATCGTTTTTCTCCCCCTACATATTTCACTAGTATACATACTCACATTATATATGTGTGTATATGTTTTTTGGTTTTTTTTTCAGGTTGGGAAGAAAAGATGCCTCATTTTGAAACCTAAAGGGGGGAATAAGAAAAGCCCTTTGTAATATATTGCCATATTATCACTAAATCCCCTGACAGTTGTGACACACAGGCAAGTCACCTGTCACTTAAGCTTGAGGTCTCTTTAATTTTCTCCTGGAATTCGCACCAGGCTGTCTTTAATTTGAGGCCTTTATTGGAATTCTGAAACCTCTCTGCCTCCCTGGCTCTCAGATCTATTCTGAGAGCTGTTACAGAATGTATACAATAACCAACAGAGGGATTCGGAGAGGGCTGGAGCTCTGTTTATTTAACACTCTAGAGGGATTTTTGTGCTTATTCGGTCCTGGATGCCCGGCTTTCAATATCGCTTTGACAACCATTCTGCCCTTCTCATTAATTTTAAACAGTTAAAACACAGGAAAAAGAGGAAAAAGTTTTCATTATTAAAGTGCTTTACTTTTTAATAACAGAGGATTCTGTCCGCCAGGGGAAAGGGCATCCTCGCTAATTTCACATTCATAAAAAAAAAAAAAAAAAAAAACCCACCAGGAAGGTGACAGTTGCTCTGCTGAGGTGGCTTAACGAAAGGAGGGCACCCAAAAAAAAAAAAAAGTTTGCATTTCACATCAGTTAAGAGGGTAAAAAAATCCTTGTTAATGACAACAGCAAATGTCCACTTTCGTAACACAGCTCCTGAATGACTTTTCTCTTGACATTTTCCTGGATGAAACCCTTAGGGGGACCATGTACTGTGAAATCAGCTAGGCTGTCATCAACCAAACAGGTAGCAGGAGTGATTTGACTAAACCAAAAACATTTTCAGGTTGTTAAGTCTCTATTAATCCAGAGATGAACATCGATCCAAAAAATGAGGCTTTTTCTTCTCTCCCCTTTGTTCTTCCTCTGGCAGCTTTAAAAGTGAGAGACAGTCTTGTGAGGGTAGGTTTGGCCCAGGTAGTCAAACACAGGCACTTGCACCCTGTTCTCTACAAAAGTTGAAAGAAGCAGGGGCTGGGTTGCACACTGTGCCCCACAAGTGGGTGAGGGACATGAGGTATCCAGGCCTAGTAACACTACTTAAATTAGATCAATATTGTTGGGGAGGCACTGGAGCCAAATGGAATTAGAGAAACTGTTCGCTTAGATTTCACCTTAAATTGAAAGGATCCATGTTTGAGATACAGGAAACAAAAACCACTAGTTTTTAGTAGGGATGTAAAGAAGTCTTTTTTTTTTTTAGGACTGTTAAAGAATGAAAAGAAAATTTATGTTACCATTTGCCATCTGTAGAGCCCTGGTGGTGCAGTGGTTAAGCACTTGCTTGGTGGTTGGAACCCACCAGCCACTCTCTTGGAAGAAGAGGTGGCAGTCTACTCTGTGAATTGTATGGCCTAGGAAACACTATGGGCAATTCTGTCTACTTTGTCCTACAGTCACTGAGTCAGAATTGAGCAGTGGATTTTTTTTTTTTTTTGGTTTTAGGGTTCGTGTAGATAATATAGATGTTGTATCTTTCAGAGGGACCATCTACTGCAAAGATCCAGGCAGTCTTCTTTGAATGTGGTTTGTTGGAACAGCCCATTCCTTACTTAGCTTCTGGAATCTCAGCATAATATAGGGCCTCCATGGTTATGGATTAAGTGAAGTTAAAAGAATCTGAAACATGGAGAAATCTGAACCTCTCTTAGAATTAAGGAAGTGTGCTCTCATTCTAGGGTGGTTGTTGTTAAGTACCGTGGAGTCGATTTTGACCCATAGCGACCCTGCATAGGGTTTCCGAGGAGCAGCTGGTGAGCTTGAACCGCCGACCTTGTAATTCAAATGACTTTGCAGTCTGGTGTATTAACACACAGAGCCACACCAGGAGGAATAACTTTTTTAAGGCTAAATTTTAGGCAGATTACTGTTGGATGCTCTAATCAGTGTGTCATTGATAAATGTAAGGGAGTGAAAAGATTAAGGCCTAAGTAGGAGACACAAGATTCATTCGAAAATCGCTTATGTTCAACGATGGTTTAAGTGCTTGAATTGGTATTGGAAAATTTCAAATCATCTCTCATTTTGCATGAGTGATAAGAGGCCAGGAAGGAAAGTAAATCAATAAGTAAATAAATAAATAGAATAGATCTGCTTCCTCACAATGCCATCCTTTTCTTGACTTTAACATCTTTATAGCTCCTCTTTTTTTTCCCTAGTAATATTGAGAGGATTACCCTTGTTGGCCCCTAGGTGGTTACTGTGTGATTTTACTGTTATTAAATCTATTATAAACTGCTTCATTATTCCTGACTCCAATTCTGTCTTTTCTTTAATCCTTCCGTCACCCTCCCAGAAATCCTGTGCTGTTGGCCCCCAGGAAATCCGTGAGCGAGCCACAGTCTTACAGACAGTATTTGAAGATTATGTGCACTCCAGTGAAAGGAGGGTCTCCTGGGCAAAAAAAGGTCAGTAGATTTCTTAGGTGATTAGAGAGTAGATAGCCCAGCAGATACCGCCCCCATCTCTACGCATATACCCCCGAATGACTTGAGAGGCCAACCAGGAATCTCTACTCACCAGCAAAAGCCTTCAATCTCTGCAGCATTTGGAATCAGGCACGGAAGGCTTTAAAATGATATTAAATGTTAATTTCATCCTTCCTCCCATTTTATACAAATGAGACTTTATCTTGGCTTACAGCAGGACTGGAGCTTTGACCCAACAACATGGATCTTACGGATCCATTTTTCTGTGTCTTTGAAAAGTAGATATAACAAGTCGGTAGAAATAGTTGTAGAGATAGAAATTAGAGATGAAAGTAAGGGCTGGAAATATTATACCTAAACTGTTCCTATTTAAAAGCACAAAGAAAAATGACAAAGAACATGCTGAGTTAGAGCCATAGACCATGGTCCCAATTCCTAGGAAATTTGCAAAAGAGTTAACTATTAATTTAATATTCATACTTTTTATATGATAAGTTGGCTTCTGGGATCACCAAGCATTAAGTGTGGACTTAACAGTTCACTTTGAGAAATGAGCAAGGATGAGGACTAGGGGCTTATATTAACTGATCATTTTTTATAGTGGAACTGTGCCTTGGCTAGTGACTAACTCATGTGCCAGTGAGACTTGCTCCATATTAGTGGATCCACAGTTCTTTTCAATAGTTGCCTGCGGTTTTGAGAAAAATGCCATGCTAATTTACTAATACTGTATCCTTTCTTCTTTTTATGAATAGAAATATATTTTTGGAAACCAGTTGTTCAATAAATATGTATTGAATTGGACACTGTTCCAAGTGCTTAGGATACCTCAGGGATCAGAACAGATAAAAAGTTAGCCTTTGTGAGGCCAACATTCTAGTGGACAATGAGCACCCTAAACATACACACACACACACACACACACACACACACACACATACACACATATGCATACATACATAAGCAAATAAGCTAGGTAGTCTAGTAGATGGTGCTAAGAGCTCTGAAAAGAAATAGAGCAGAGAAGGGCGATCAAAGGGTGGTAGGGCAGAGTTCATTTTAAATAGTGGTCAGAGTGAAGCGCTGTGATAGTTGTGAAAAAGGATGAGCCATGCAGCTCTTTGAAGAAAAGGTATTCCAGTCAGTGAGAACAGCCAGAGCAGAGGCACTCAAAGCAGTGTAAGCAACACAAGGGGAGGAGTTGAAGGGTACAGAGCATGCCAGGTGGGGAGACTGTCATAGAGATTACATTTTACTGTAGGTGAAATAGAAGCCACTGAAGGCCATGGAACAGAGATGTGACCTGATCTGACTTGACTTTGAAAAGGTCATCTGGCAGCAGTGTGGGATTAGACTTTAGGGGGACAAGGGCAAAAGCTGGGAGACCTTAACAGGACAAAACTGCTTAGTCAGCAGATATTTTTTTGAGCATGTATAATGTATGTTATGTTGGAGTCCTGGCGTGGTGCTGTGGTTTAATGCTCTGGACAGCAAAGTTGTTTTGAACCACCAGATTCAAACTTACCAGCCGCTCCTTGGAAACCCTATTACAGGGTCGCTATGAGTCAGAACTGACTTGGCAGCATGTAACAACAACAACATTATGTATGTTGGCACTTTATGAAAGCAGTCTTTTTTTATGGTCATAACACTTGACCAAATTAGAACAGCACTGGATCAAAAGGTGAAGTCTGCAGTAATTGCTCCATAAACTGCTGAGATTTAATTACTGTGTATCCTTCTAGGTTTTTTTCCTAACAATATTGTCCCCAGCATTTTCCAAAAGTAAATTTGGCATTCTATAAGGGTTTTCATAAGAATCTGCTTTTAGACAAGTACTGGAGTGTGGTATCTCAAGAGGAATTGACTTTTTGGCACAGTGCAGCTGTGCAGAGTATAGTCATTTGCTGAAAGTTAGACAGATTCAGCTTGTGTGATACATGATTAGTTGTTACGCGGCTGAATTTCAGGGGTCGTGATAAAAGCACCGGGAAATAAATAACCCACACTTTAATCTTTTACTTTGCTTTTGGTTTCAGTCAGAGGTATTTTGAATATTCTGGTGGGGTTGCAACTATTTCAGCCTGACCTGGGTCATCAGAGTAGATGCTATAATAAGTGATTCTTAGAGAAGATGGTTTTGCGATTTCTTTCATCCTTGTCACTGTTGAACTTGTTAATACCAAGAAACAAGCCAAGCTGTTTACCTTTTGTTTACAGGAATATTGGCATGGAGCTACTCCCCAGTGTTAAAGTTCCATGAAGGAAATAAATATATTATTTCTCTGATCTGCTAACTGATTGTCACACTTGATTGATAATGAGTGTAACATTATCAGTCTCTCACCCACTATAAATATAAAGCTCTCCACTGTTCTTTTTTTCTCCTGTTACTTTGGAGGTTTGGGGGAATAGACACATGTTCATCACCCTAAAGGTATTGAGTTCACAAGATAGGATCAGCCACTGTGCCCATAAGTTGATACTACCTTTTGCATTTCAGTCTGCATATGCAAATTCTTCACCACTGACTTGCTTTCCTTTTATGTCATTTCAGAACCCACCTTATGAATAATTAACAAAGCAGCTGGCTTTTGCCTTTATGGCAGAAAAGCTAGTTAGAAACTGGGCCAAGTATGCGTTTGTTTTCCTTTTGCGTATTCTGACCCAGTCATTGTTAATAGCAGCATTTAATTGTTGTTTCTTTGCAGGAGCAGTTACCAACCTTTTTTTCTCTCATATCTTGCAATTCCTTAACTAGAAATTCAAGCATTAAAAATAGTGGTTACGTAAGTTTGACTTCCATACCCCTGAATAAAAATTTTGAGAAAACGGAGTCCTTTTCTTACAAATTGCCACTTCTGTGGTTTGATCATCTCCATCTTCTGGTCTCCCTGAAGAACAAGAGCTACCTGTGTAGATAGATGTATGCTTGTACTTCTCCAATCATGGAAACCCTTTGCAGTGATGTCAGTAATCCTCTCAGTGTGATGAGCGGTCAGCAGGGTCCTTTGTCAAATGCTTTGTCTCTGTGAGAAGTGTAACAAGCCTCCTCCTTTCCCACACCTTTCTTGCTATTAATGTGTCAGATGGAAGATGCTTGTACCTTGACTCTGCCCAGACCTGTGTTTTTCTGAGAGCCAGGGGCAGGTTGGGAAGAGTGAGTATTATCCTCACCTGCCAACATGGAGTCTTACTTTTTGATTGTAAGCATTATCCACCCATAAAATGCTTTTATTCCTAATCCAGTAAGTCCAGAAATAATCCTGATTTTCTGAAGGACAAAATGCCCACATGGGGTATTTTAAGTAGATTTCCCCTAATTGATGTACCTTAAATAGTTGGCTAGAAATAGGAATTGGAGAGTACGACGTGCTCATTCTGATTAGCTATAGTTTAATCTGTCATCCCAAATAAATGTCTACTCCCATTACTCCTCTACTTTCTGCTTCTATTGGCTGTGTAGCCCCTGCTCCTTCTGCATATTCTTGACACTGCCAACATGAGCCACTTGCTGCCCCTTGGAAAGTCCTACAGACAGCTGCTACTGCCTCTGAAATTCCTTCTTTGAATTATCTAAACACGGGAGTCCATGCAAGTATGTGAGGACAACCAACTGTCGCTGTCCCCAGTGAGACAGGCTCCTTGAGGACATGGAGCTTTAGTAAAAATATGCAGTGTGAAATGCTGCCTGACCAGTTGTCCTGGGAGAAAACCCTTCGTGCCTTTTCTTGGCACACTCATTATTCCTGTAAAGCTGTGATCTGGGCACTTCAGTCTCTTGGGATAGAGGCTCTCCCTCCTTGGGAAGAGAGGGCCAACACAGGTGGAAAGCCCAGGGGCTCATGTGCTGAAGCAGAAGAGTGCTATGAACCAAGGAGACCTGGGCCAGGATTTGGGTTACGGAGATTTTAAAAGCAAAAACTCTTAGGCCTGGTTTGGCCTGATGTGTTTTCATTCTGGATCTTTTAGAATCAGGGTAAATGTTAGAGGTGTTATGGTGGGGGAGGGGACAGACAAATCTGGGTCCCTATCATTATAGCACTTGTGTCTAAGAGCCTGGTGTCAGCACCCTCCAGATAGTCCAGACCATTTGAAGTATTACAGGTTTTCATTGAAATACCCAGTCCCTAGTTATTAACAAAGGGAGTAAGCACAGATTTAAAAGAGGGGTACAGAGGAGTTGCCTTGGTTATTATTTCTCATCGATTGGGAAAAGGAGTTCACTTTGCTCAGTAAACAGAGCTTTGATGGATTCTCAGGATCCTTCCAGAAGCTGATCTGCTAAAATGACACTTTTTATTACTGTTCATAAACGCCAATCTCCAGGTGCTGTTGGGATATTATGTTTAAGCTGTGGGCAAACTTGCCAGTCCAGTGGCTCAACAAGCAAGGGTGAGAGTGGCTAGGATTCAGTGCCTCTTTCCATCAGAGAGAGTGGCTTGGCTGGCAGGAAGAGCAAAGCTTGAAAGTAAAGGGAGGAATGATGGGCATGGGGAGCGACTCCCTCCTTCCCTGCTACAGTAAGAAAAGACAGACATTTAATTTTCACTATTCTTATGAGGCATTCAAGGGGGGGACTGGGTATAAGATAATCTTTTCTTAAAGAATTGCCAAGTTGAGGCTTGGATAAAACCCCAACTTCCTGGGAACTGGCATTTCTCTGACCTGTGGGAGGATCAAGAACAAGGCTACCCTTTTCCTAGTTTTCAAATGGAGCCTAAGTTACCCTAATAGAATATTTAATGAGCATGTATAAAGAATCTCAGGATGAGCCGATTCATGGATATTTAATAATTTTCTTTTTCCTTTTGAAGATTCTTACTTCATTTCCTTTATTTATTTTTTTTTTAAGTTTTATTGTGAATTGTGTGTTCATTTCCTTTTTTACACCTTTAAATGGGTAAGAAGCACTGGATCGGTCAATCCTGGATACTTCTGGAATGAATTTGCTTTTAAAATCCCACAGATGCCTCTGATTAGGGAAAGGTAGAGGCAGTGCTTGTGGTGTAGCCAGAAACTATATAGTAATGTCTTTCTCATTCATAGTAAACATACTGAAATTCATAATAAGTCCCTTTGAATTTTTTTTGTATTTTTAATATTGACATGGATTACATTTTTAAATTTAATTAGGGAAAAAAATGTTTCTAACATAAAAGTCTGATAGTTTACTCGCTTTCATAAGAAAATAATGTGTTATGGCGCTCATTTGTAAGTGCCTTCACTCATTTCCCCTTTCATTCACTTGTACAGCAAACATCGATCAGGTGCTTGCTTTGTGCCAGATACTGTGTGAGACCCTAAGACAGTAATGAAAACAATGGGGCTCCTCGACCCTTTTGCATCATTAGTAGCGATGTAGTAAATCTGAAATTTTGCTTGATTTAATTGATAATCTTGGCTTGAAGAGTTAAGTTTTTTTTTGCTATTATCTTGAAGAATTTGAAAAATGACCCAGAAATATAGATTTTAGGTTGTCCATATACAAGGGAACTTAAGAAAGTTTGTGAACAAATGGAATTAAAAGATTGGGAGTCAGTGTCCTGGTTAGGCTCCCATCGTTGCCTGGCAAAATGAAGTGCAGAGGTAAACCATTAGGCTGGGGCAGTTGTGAACTTCAAGCTCCCAGGCCTAACAGCACCTTCTCCCCTTTTTCTTTCAGCTCTGCAGTCCTTCATCCGAGCCTATGCAACATACCCCAGGGAGCTGAAGCACATCTTCCATGTCCGATCCCTTCATCTTGGGCATGTGGCTAAGAGCTTTGGGCTAAGAGATGCCCCCACTAATCTTAATGTCTCAGCTTTAAAGAAGAAGAAAGGAAAGCTGAAAAGGTAAGATGAGCAGACATGTCCTGTAACACGTGACTGAAAGTCCCCAAGAGTGTAGACAGCTTTGTTCAGATTCACAACAGGGAGAAGAGAAGGTGGCCTGCTATACTCAGTGGACACACATCCATCTTTTGTTTTGTGAGGAATTGTCACCAGTATCTGCCCCTCCCTCAATATAAATGCTTGAAACATGAGAAAGAAATACCTAATCTTAGTGGTTTTAAGGCATCTGCAGAAATTCAGCATTGTGTTCTGTCTGGCACAAATGTAGTAGGAGTACTGGAGCAGCAAGACAGAGGTGTTGCAGAGTCAGAGCTTCATATTTGCTGAGGTCACTGTGGAAAGCATCTGAGACTTGTACAAAGGCTTGCAGTGTGTTTTATGAAACCAGTCCCCACGGCATACCATGTAGTGAGATGTGAGGGCGTGAGTACTCGCTGAGCTCTGCAGATTGGCAGGAGGTGGTGAAGGTGGAGAGCCATACCTGGATGGTTCCAGGGAGTTCATTGAGATTACAGCTTTGAAAACCCTATGAGACAGTTCTACTCTAATAGGGTTGCTATGAGTTGGAATTGACTCCACCGTACACAACAGTGCTGGACTCTGCACCCTACACAGGATGTCGCTCTTCATGGTACTGACCCAAGTCTCCACGTTGATCACTCTTGCAAGCAAGAGCTGAGGACTCTTTCCCTCCCATAGAAAGTGTGCTTAGAACTGATTAGTGGTTCTGTTGTTGTTAGCTACCATTGAGTTGTCCTCAACTGTGTTAGCTCCATGCACAACAGGGTGTTCATTGACTGATTGTTGGAAGTAGATTGCCAGGCTTTTCTTCCTCCTTTGCCTTTGTCTGGAAGCACCTCTGAAATTTATTAAGGAAGTCTTGGTGTGGCGCTGTGGGTTAATGTGCCAGACTGCAAAGTCTTTTAAACTGCAAGGTCCGTGGTTTAAGTGCACCAGCTGCTCCTCAGAAACCCTATACAGGGTCGCTATGGGTCGGAATTGACTCGACAGCACTTAACAATAACAACTAAAAGCTTTCAATGACAGGTAGTTGGTGGCTGCACTTGAGGTGCATTGGCTGGGAATCAAACCTAGGTCTTCCATTGGAAGTTAAGAATTCTACCCCAGAACCACCACTGATTCCTTGATCCGAGGCTCTAGTAGGGGAAAGTCTGAGAAACATTGCCCTGTGAGTTGGAAGGTAGGGGTCTAAATCCATCATACAGTTTCATGAGGCTTTGAGATGATTTCCTTCAACAAACTACATTTGCAAAAGGTCTTTTTTGTTTCAAAGACAAGATGTTCCTTTACTATTGGGATCCAGAATCTCCTAGGAGCTATGTCATAGATTGAATTTTGTCCCCCAGAAATATATGTTAACTTGGCTGGCCCATGATTCTTAGTAGGTTGGCACATATATAATGATGTAATTTGTTAGTTATTTAATGATGTAATTATATACCATAATGTTATTAGCCAATCAGTTATAAAGGGATTTGAGTGGGATTAGGCAAAGAGTAGGAGTATCTTCTATCCCCAAGAAAGAAGAAGTGGGAATGGAGCACATCCTTTGGATCTGGGGTCCCTGTGCTCAGAACCACCTAGACCCAGGGGAAGATTGATGCTAAAACATGTGGAGATCTCCAAGGAATACTGAGCCCACAGATGTTGAAAGGAGATAAGCATCTCCTTTAGTGGGAGAACACCTTACCTCAGAACTGGCTCTCTGAATTCAGACTTCTATCCTCCTAAACTGTGAGAGAATTAATTCCATTTATTAAAGACATCTGCTTGTGGTATTTGTTGCAGCCACACTAGATAAACTAAGAATTTAGAATTTTAAAACTGGAAGATACCTAAAATGTGAGAGCATTTTGGAATTGGGTAATGAGTAGAGGCTAGACGAGTTTTAAGATATCTAATAGTAAAACCCTAAATTGCCTTGAAAAGATTGTTGGTGGAATTAATAGGCATTAACAACAACAACAACAAAGGCAATTCAGATGAATACTCAAAAAGTGAGGCAAGCTATCACACTGAAGATGACGCAGAGGGTATAAAGCAGCAGCAAAACCGGGAGACCAGTGTGAGATGGCATAGGAACTGATGGAGCAAGAGAGTTGAGTGCATTAGTTCACAGAGCTAGGCGTGTGGACCCATGGAGCAAGAGAGCTGAGCACCTTCAGGCCAAGACCTACTAGCATATGGGATGCCTCCTGGCACTTACTGGTAAAACTAAAGAACTTTATAATACTCATATCATCAGGACAGAGTCTGGGCTGGCCCCAAGGGGCTAAAAAGAAACAGTGAACCAGAAAGCAGAAGCTGAAGAGACAAGAAACATGGGAAGCAGAACTGCCTTGGTCTCAAATGGTAGGGCCATGATCTCCGGGGTCTCAAAACGGTAGAACCATGGCCTGCTGGTTTTCAAAGTGTGAGGCTATAGTTTCCTAGGTTTGAAGAGTCAAGTCTTCATTACATATTGAAAAGAGACAAGGATCTTTCTCCAGAGCCAACAGAGAGAAAACCTTACCTTAGAACTGGTGATCTTAATTTGGATTTTTAGCCTCCTAAACTTTAAGTCCTGGTGTGGGACTAGGATCAGCACTGGACTGTGAACCACAAAGTTGGCAGTTCAAACCCACCAGCTGTTCCTTTGGAAACACTATATAGGGTTGCTTTGAGTGGGAGCCTATTCAACAACACTTCACAGCAGTAGCAAACTTTCAGAAAATAAATTTCTCTTTGTTAAAGCCACAAGCTTGCTGTTACAGCAGCACTAGATAAGCCAAGCTAGGAACTAGAATATTTTATAGATACCACAAGTTGCTGTTTTGTGGAGGAACTTTGGGATAGATTGCCATTTTCATTTATGCAACCCTCGTGTAGGAAGGATATATGCAGTAAATGGGGTACAAAGGCTTTTCTTTCACTAGCCTTAGTTTATAGGAACTTGTGGATATTCTGCACAATTATTTCACAATATGTATTATTCTTTATTCTGCACTCTTTATTCTGTATTCTTCTTTCTGTACATAAATTGCAAATACCACAATGTATTTGCCCTGACTCTGAGAATCTGTTGGCAATACCACACTTTTCTCCATGTTCCAGCAAAATGTCTGTTACTTGTTCAGCAAGAAGTGTTTGCTGAGTAGTGGCAAGTTAGGACCCAGCATCTCCAGTGTGAAGTAGCAAACGGAAAGGGATCGCTGGTTGTAGGGAAATGACTCTTCATCTTGAGTTGGAAAACTTAAGCTTCAGATTCATTCTAGTGTAGGTTTTGGACCATAGTGTTTCCTACAGAAGGAAGAAGAACATGTTTTAGCTACTTTGCAAGATTGTTTTAAGGATCAAAATTAGGTGGCACACATGTGACTATGCCTCTTGAAGCACAAACAATTGTACAGATAGAAGTGTCTTAGGATTGTTGTTAAGTTTCGTCGAGTCGGTTCCGACCCATAGCAACCCTGAATAGAGTTTCTGAGGCTGTAAATCTTTACAGGAGCAGAAAGCCTCATCTTTCTCCTGTGATTCAGGAACATCCCAGCTTGGTCTGTCTTGGAACTTGGCATCTAGACCGCTCTTTATAATGGCTAAAATTCTACCTAATTGTAATTCCAGTACTGGAATTTTTTTTAATGGTTGGGTTTGGATTTTTTTTTTTTTTCTTGTATAGTTAACCTCTCCTATAAATTTATGGGGCAGGTAAAAACAACTTTCCATATGCTGCTTTACTACAGTATCAATGAGACTGGGACATAGAACTGGTATGTCCCCAGCAGTCCTGAGGGCACAGGGCCGAGCACTACCTGCCCTCCTTTGGATCTAGACTCCTTCCCAGAAGGAAAAGATTCCTCAGATGTACTCCCATATGCACACAGACATGCCAGAATTCGGGCAGTAGTGACCAGAGTTGGTTCCCTGTTGGGGGAGTTAGTGTAGCTGGTGTCTGCACGTATTAACTTTGATTTTGAGTGTGTAGCAAGCTATAAGGTGTCTCAGTCTACTTCTGAGGGTGCTCTTCTTATAATCTGGAAGCCTGACCATCATTTCATTGTCTCTTAACATGTTGATACTCTGAGAAGAATAGATCTGCCAAAAGATTCTTAAGAAAACATAAATCTTTTATGCCTCTTCCCTCAAATAAATGCAGTCCCAGTATTTTAGTGTTAGCAGATGATCAGCCTCCATGACTGGGAATTTCATTAGCAAGTGTTAATCCAGATAGCAGCTCTTCAGTTTGGGATGTCTTCAGCTCTTACCCAGATCCTGGAAAGCAAAGCGAGGAGGCAGGGAGGCAGTTGGGAGGGGGAATTGGAGACAGCATTGTCCTTACCTTGAGAAACCACTAGGGAAAGAGCAAGCCACCGCCTCCTGTTTCAGCTGACCCTCACTAGCAGATGGGCACCAGGACTACTATACCCCTGTGAGCAGGGGATTTAACAGGGCTTTATTTAGGGAAGAATGGGCTGATTAGCCGATAAAGAGCATGTAAGATGGTATGGGGCAGCCTTTGATGTCTGGCTGGCGCGGCAGGGAGCCGGGTGGTGAGTGACAGCAGTGTGTCACAGGATTACTCCGCTCGTGACAATGCCACTCTCTGTTCTTGCCATGTCACCACTCTGTTAAAGCTACTTTTTCCGTTGTTGTGCCCTTCTTTTGAAGGCATTTCACTCATAACTCCTTATACCCTCCCACCTCACCCCTGCCTATATAACGCAGACGGGCACTCAAGGATACAGTAGGTACCTTTTTTTTAATTTGGGGAAATCTTGTCACTCCTGAAGGAAGAATGACTTTGCAGCTAATCTGCACATGGACCGTATAATTGTGGTCAAGGTTAGCGGCAGGGAAAACTTGACAGATTTTCCACACCTCCGTCAGGGCTCAAGCAAATGTCAGTTGTTGCTTTTTGAGAACTGGAAAGAAAGTCCATTAAACCCCACAAAGTATGGAGAGTTATGCTGTGGCCACAATTATTGTTCTGAGCTGAAACG